TATACGAGACAAAAATACACATGAATTGACATTTATGAGTTCTATGGATCCTAATGTAGATCCGATGCTTTATCCGTTATTATTTCCAAAGGGTTGCGGTGGGTATGACAGCCATGAAAGTCATGTTACCAAATCAAAACGTATTTCTCGATCCGAGTATGTGCGAAATTTAATTGCGACATGGGAAAATTTTAATCCTTTTTTAAGAGGGGGGAAATTGTTATAACAGTTTGTTGTTGATAGTTATGTTAAAATTGAAAGGGATCGCATGACTTATGTCAGGAATCAACAAAAAGAAATTAGATGTGATACTTATCAAGGGCTCATGGATTATTTAAATGACAAAGGAAACAAGAATAACATGGGAGTCGGTAAAGTAATTATTTTATCATCTACTTTCATTGGATCACCACGAAACATGGCGGAAAATTATCAAGATGCGTTAGCTATTGTAAGGAAATATGGAAAGCCTGATTTATTCATAACAATGACCTGCAATCCTAAATGGAGAGAAATAATAGAAAACCTCACATGTGGTCAACAGCCTAGCGACCGGACAGATGTTGCAAGGGTTTTTCATTTAAAAAAGAATTTATTATTGAATCTTATTATTGATGAATCACTCTTTGGACGTGTTAAAGGATACATTTATGTCATAGAATTTCAAAAGAGAGGGTTACCTCATGTTAATTTATTAATCAATTTAGATAGCATTTTCAAAATAAGGAGAGCAGAAGTAGTAGATAAATTCATTAGGGCTGAAATTCCTGATGAGCATGATGAACCAGATCTTCATCATATTGTTATGCACAATATGATACATGGACCGTGTGGAGAATAGTGTTTAGTAAATGGAAAATGCTCTAAACATTATCCAAAATCATTTCAGAATGAAACTATCATCGATTATAATGATTATCCTTGCTACAGAAGGAGAGATACAGGAATATATTATGAAAAACGAGGTAATTATTTAGTAGATAATAGGCATGTTGTTCCATACTCACCAGAAATTTTGAAAAAATTAAATTGTCATTGTAATGTTGAAGTAGTCTCAAATATTAAGGCTGTAAAATATTTCTATAAATATGTTTACAAAGGACATGATGCGGCTAATATCGTGGTAAGAGATTGTAGTGAAAACAAAAATGTTATTGAACATGACGAAATAAAGGAGTATCTTGAAGGCCGGTACGTCGGACCAGTTGAAGCATGTTGGAGAATATTGAGGAAGAAATTACATGATAAAAGTCATGCGGTATTTCGATTGCCAGTACACTTACCAAATCAACAAAGTTTAACAATTAATCCAGGTGGAGAAGATTGCAACGCAACTTCAATATTGGAACAAAAAAATATGTTGATTGATTACTTTGAATTAAACAAAAGAGATGAAAATGCAAGGAAATACCTTTATATGGACATTCCAGCTTTTTATACATTCAAAAAAGAAAAAAAAGATGGTATGATGAAAGGATATTGGAAAAGACGACGGAGAAATTACAATGTTATTGGACGTATATACTCAATAGATCCATCACAAACTGAATTGTATCATCTACGCTTATTATTGGGAAAAATTAAAGGCGCTAAAAGTTTTGATGATTTAAGAACTGTCAATGGACAGTTGTGTACAACCTTTACACAAACATGTATCGAACTCGGCCTCATTGCTGATGATTCTGAATGGAGCCGAGCTCTGCATGAAGGGAAAATATGGATGATACCACGTGCACTCCGATTATTATTTGCGAGAATACTACTATATTGTCAGCCTTCATATCCAGGGAAGTTATGGGAAGAATTTAGCATTGCATTATCGGAAGATTACAGGAGACATTCATCAGAAGAACATGCACAAAAATTAGCATTAATACATATTGATGAAACATTAAATAATGAGGGGAAAAAAGTAGGCGATTACGAAGGTATGCCAAAAGTAGACAAATCTGAAATTAATAATGAGGAAAGCTATAGACGTGATAATGCAAAAGCTATTATGAAAAGAGGGGACGATTTTTATACAAAATTAAATCAGGAACAGAGGGAAGTTGTTGACGAAGTTTTGAAAAATCTGGAGAACGCTGATAAAAACCGTAGAACAAATTGTTTCTACATAGATGGACCTGGCGGATCTGGTAAAACGTTTATTTATAATACTTTATGGCATTTATTAACAGGTCAAGGAAAAAAAGTGAAGACAATGGCGTATACAGGAATTGCAGCAACCCTCTTACCAGGGGGAAAGACTGTTCATAAAACTATTGGACTACCTGTACCTCTATTCAAAGACTCAACATCAAATATAAAATTAAATACAAAAGATGCCAAAAATTTATATGAAACTGATGTTTTCATATGGGATGAAGCTCCAATGGCTCCGAAATATGCACTGGAAGTAATGGATAGATTACTACGAGACGTTATGAAAAATAATTTGATTTTCGGTGGTAAAATAGTAATTTTAGGTGGGGATTTTAGACAATTACTACCTGTTTTAGTAGATGGTAGTCAACCTGAAAAAGTGGACCTTTCAATTAAATACACTTCATTATGGAAATATTTCAAAATTTTCAAATTGTTAAGAAATATGAGAGCACTAGAAAGTGAAAAAGAATTTTCTGAATTTTTACTGAAAATTGGAGATGGAGTAATTAATGATTCCGATGATAATGTAGACCTACCAACTTGTATTATTTCAGAAAGTGAACAAGATATTGCAAAAGATATTTATGGAGACGTATTGTCGACAAAGAAATTCAGAAAAGCCGCTAAATATGCAATTCTCTTTGCTCGGAATGATGATGTAAATGAAATTAATCAAAAAGTTTTACAGCTTCTGGATATCATAACAGAAAAAAAATATATACAAGTATCGACAGTACGGACAACTGTAATGATAACGATGAAATAAATGAATCATTGATGTCAGAATATCTCAATACTTTGTCACCGTCATCTTTGCCTCCACATGAGTTACGGTTGAGAAAATTTTGTGTAGTAATGTTAATTCGAAACTTGAACATTAACGAGGGTTTATGCAATGGCACACGATTGTTAATACTAGAACTACAAATAAATCTATTAAAGTGTGAAATTTTAACTGGAGACAAGAGTGGAGAAATAGTACTTATCAATAGAATAATTTTCATGTGTGATAAGGAATATCCATTCGCATTTAAAAGAAGGCAATTCCCTATTAAAATAGCTTTTGCAATAACCATCAACAAATCACAAGGCCAAACTTTTGATAAAATTAGAATTGATTTGAGAAAAGAAGTTTTCAACCATGAGCAATTATATGTCGCATTATCAAGAGTTAGATCATGGGAATCATTGAAAGCATACCTCGGTGGTCATATAAGTAATAATAGAGCTATAAAAAATTACGTATACAAAGAATTGTTTAGATAGTGAGAGCCCAAAAATGAAGAATGCCTGAATATAATTCACGCTCGTTACTCATTGGTAAATTCAAACACGCGGGAAATTAATTTTTTTTTGTTTTTTGAACTATTCAAGAAAATATTATCATAAAAAATTGTATTCTTAAACATTTACATTACAGGACACTAATTAATTATTAAATTTTTAGTATCTAAATCAAGTCAAAAATAACAGCAATGATTGGTTGGAATTAAATGATGAAGATAAAATGTAGATGAGAAGTCTCCGAAAGCGAGAAGAAATTGTTTAACAGAAATATAACCAGATAAATTAGAGGGTGAATAAACTATTCCATCGAAAAAGGATACAAAATTATTAGAGGTAATGATATAAAATATGAAATAATTTTGAGGAATTATAAGGCATTTCTAATTTTCAGATGTAACTTCATGTTGTCATACATAGGAACGTGAATATCATGACTTGCCATTAATCCTGTATAAAATATATTCCGAGAAGTTGAAGAATAGATACTTAAGCTCTTTACACACAAAAAATAAAAGATTTTTAATATATTTATTCATGTATGCATATGCATAAAAAAAGTTTATCTGATTATAATCAATAAAAAATATTTTAATGAGTATAAATTAATAGTATTTTGTCTTCTTGATAATCTTCAACGACCTACGTCTCTTCTGTCCTCGCTTAACCTTGAATTTTTTCCTATCAGAAGAATAAATAATAAAATTAGGGCACAACGACAACATCAGCGAGTATGAAATAAAGGGTCTAGCCAAATAAGAATGGTCAATCGGCCCCCGACGAATTTCACGCTGAAAATTTTTTGACATATTTGTCATTCAAAAAAATAATTTTGTGCAAAATTTCAGATTTTTATCCCAACCCCCTGATTTTTAACAATTAAAAAACCTCTTTTTCCGATATTTTTTTTTTCGCATACTCAAACGCCGTTGAAAAATCTGAAAAAATTCTCAAAAATCGGGAATACTCCAAGCTATGTGGAATATTTTTTTTTTTTTTTTAAAACGTTTAACTATATTTTTTATCATCCAATCTTTTTTAAAAAAATTAATTCAACCATGGAGAAAATTTTCTACCACTTTGTCAAAATTTGAGGTGTTTCTACTTTCAATGTCCTTCAAATTAAAAAAAAAAAAGTTCCAAAATTCCACCTGCAACGTGTTGAAAAAAAATAAAAACTATAAATTTTTGCGTTTTTCGTAAAAATTACTAGGAAAAAAAATTTCTCCCGTCAATTAGATAATGATTATCGATTATTTGGCACCGAAGAATATGATTCCATATGGAATTTTCCATTTTTGTCCCAACTCCCTAATTTTAAGTGATCAAGAATTTTGTTTTTTTCTCAGTTTTTAATTTTTTCTTCATTTTCAAACGTCGTTTACGATTCGTAATAATTCTCAAACATTAAATACAATTTAAAGTTCGAGATATGTTTCTTCTCCTTTACAACGTTGAATTATATTATTCATGGACACTAATTGTTAATTCTGCACGTGGTTGAACATGGAGTGAGTCTCAATAATCCAGTGACACGGACACCTCGTTGATAATCGTGGTTCTACACATTAATCTTCATCACTATCACTGTTAATCACGGCGTTCACTTCTTCTACGTCAAAGAGCCTGGTCAGGATTTCCGCTGGTTTGATGATTTTGGAAAGATATCGAGCATGTGATAGGTAATAAATGACCGCTGCAATGTGCGAGCAGCATCCAATCGTGCGTTTGCCATTCGGACAATCGCAAGAGTAACGTCGAATCCCGGAAGCGCCTTGTGAGTCACGAGTGTAATCAATGTAACATTTGTATGTTTTGCTGGTGATGTGTCTAGATCTCACTAGAATCTGAATGATTTCGTTCGTCTCCTTCTCGAGTTTCTTCGAATAACTCAACGGAATATGGCCATCCTCATCCATCATTTCTGCTAGATAGGATACAGCTTGGGAAAGCTGGTATGATCCAGTGAAAAGTATCTTCAGTTCTCGCTCGGTCAGCTCTGGGAAATCAAGCAGATCAGCTGATGTCAATTTTTGGAACTGAGTTTTTCGACGGTTCCAACGCTGAGTCTCTGCTTCTTCTGCCAATGAATTTTCAAAAGTACGTCTAGACTTCATCCGCTCAAGAACTTCATCACTGATGCCAACATCAGAGTTCAGTCTCTTCCCATAAGTATTATTCAGGTAGCAAGCAATTCTGAAGAGGGATTGCACTTTCGGCAACAGCTTGTTATCTAGGTTGTGATGCAGTATCTTATACTTTTGGCCAATAATACCATGAACAGCTTCGACCACCCAACGAACCTTTGTCACCCATCGAGAGTCATTCGATTCCTCCGTTGTGAGCTGAGAACGTTTCCCTTTAAGTGCTGGCATAAATACTCGATATTTCTTCTCTTCTAATTCCTTTACCACATCTCGAAATCCTCTGTCAACTACACAAATGTCCCCTGGCTTCATAATTCGCTGAAGACCATCCGGTTTTTCCAACAATATTTTCATAATTTCAGCATCGTTCTGATTCGCATAAAATGGGCCTTCCATCTCAACTACATAGCCGTTAGATGTACAAATAGTAAAAGGCTTACACAGAGGCGCTTTCTTCTGTCCGGAATACGATTTCCGCTGATACATATTATTCGTACTCTTCTGATGACGAATGTAAGTCCCATCAAATATCAGCAACAATTGATCATTGATATCGTATAACTTCTTCGCTGTTTCAGATGTTTGATTCTCGATTAGTTCCTCTCTTGATTTACTGAAATATCCAAACCCGTCTGGTAATATATCTTTTTCAAATGAATTGATAACTTCTGTACAGTAGTCTGACACTTGCTGTTCTCGATCGAGTCCTAATACAGAGGCGACGATACTATTTGAATTTCCAGTTCTCATTTTAAAAAGAAAAACCACAAGAGCTTGTAGAATACTACGCGTCTTGGAATTCCTCATTGATGTCATTTTCCCACACACTTCATCGAGATTCTTATAGGTAAAACCAGTCAAAGTTTGCAGACGATGATCGGATAGAGTGCCGTCTCCTATTCGTTGCTTCAAGTCATGACTATCATTGCTTATCGAATTATGAAGGAAAAAAGTCAAGTCTGATACTTCGATCATGCTAGAACCAGCATGGATTTTTAATAATTCTAGATCATCCGCATAGAATTTACCTTTAATTATATGTTTTGGGCAACAACGATTTCCTTTAGGGATCAAAATCTTCTTCACTTGAAATGATTGTAGTCGAGCTTGAGATGGTACAGTATTTATTTCTGATGGAGAACCACAAAGGCAGCAATATTTGTGCGTTGACACTACACGTGAAAATGGCATCTCAATCAAATCGAGATCGACTGGTTCACGGATGATGAATGAGGGATCCTCTATCGAAGATTGTGTACAACTGGATAATGACTGAGGTGAGAATGTCGATGAAGTGGATTGTTGTGAATATTTGCCTGGAGATGAGGATAACGAGAGTGAAGAGGTCTTTGTCGACAACTTGTAGAGTTCAAGCGGATTTTCAATCTGCTGAGAGTCTTCTGAGCAAGACGCCATTATAGTTTCATCTCGCTTTGGTTGTTTGTCATATCCAATTAGTCGACAAGAACCACATAAAATATCTCCTAGTTTCAGAACTTTGTTTATTCTTGCAGAATATTCAGAACATTCATGCTCATCTAAAATTCTTTTACGTCGGCCCATCAATGCTCTCAGGACACGAGTACAATTCGCGCATTTCGCCGAGTCTGTTGCTGAGTTTGTGATGAACTGCGAATCCGACATTTTGACTGTTTGGTGTAAATCACTCGACTACAATTATCTGGAATAGACCCATTGATGTCTTGTACCTGTGTATTTTTCAGAGAGGAAAAGGCCTTGGTGAGTTTTGTGGTTGATGTTTTTCTTCTTCCATTCTTTGGAGCATGAAAGCAATGCAGTGCAATACTTACCATCAGTGTTATTAATTCTATTCTATTAGTAAACTTGATGATACGAAAAAAATGGAAGTTGTCACACCCAATTGCATTTCGAAAGGTTTATCGCCGGTCACAGAGAGAAGAAACGAATTCTATTCAGGAAGAAATGAATTGAAGAGAATCGAAGAATTACCGGGGAGTCTAGAGACTCTAGCTCTGCTTCTCAACGTTAGTTCCGTGCATTGCCACTTTCGACGCCACTTGAAATGTTCTTCTTTACCGACGTTGAAACCGAGTGTTGTTGGAAATTATTGGCTCATGGATTCGTGAGTCAAAAAGAGACGAAAATTATATTTTAAGACTTTTCAAGTGGAATGTATTTGAGAGTAGAATCACCTTGTATTTTTCAAAGAAGTAGAAAAACTTATACACATTGAGCTTAATTTTTGAGAAGGCGGTTGAGGGATGAAAAATATAATTTAACATTGCCAAACAGGAGAAAAATTCCTTCCTCATACTGCAGAGTGTTGGTAAATTTTGAGATTCTTTTTTCACTTTCGAAACAACGTCGGAATATGAGAGAAAAAATTTAACTGAGAAAAAAAGAAAATTCTTAATCACTCATAATTAGGAACTTGGAACAAAAATGAAAGATTTCGTATGGAATCATCTTATTCGGTGCCAAATAATCGATAATCAGTATTTAATTGACGGGAGAAATTTTTTTCCTAGTAATTTTTACGAAAAACGCAAAAATTTATAGTTTTTATTTTTTTTCAACACGTTGCAGATGGAATTTTGGAACTTTTTTTTTTTAATTTGAAGGACATTGAAAGTAGAAACACCTCAAATTTTGACAAAGTGGTAGAAAATTTTCTCCATGGTTGAATTAATTTTTTTAAAAAAGATTGGATGATAAAAAATATAGTTAAACGTTTTTAAAAAAAAAAAAAAATATTCCACATAGCTTGGAGTATTCCCGATTTTTGAGAATTTTTTCAGATTTTTCAACGGCGTTTGAGTATGCGAAAAAAAAAATATCGGAAAAAGAGGTTTTTTAATTGTTAAAAATCAGGGGGTTGGGATAAAAATCTGAAATTTTGCACAAAATTATTTTTTTGAATGACAAATATGTCAAAAAATTTTCAGCGTGAAATTCGTCGGGGGCCGATTGACCATTCTTATTTGGCTAGACCCTTTACAATCGGAATCGGTTCCACCAATCTCTATAAGCTGTATATTAAAAATCAATTAGAAGAAATAATTATCTAAAAAAGAATTGACCCCCCTTGAAATCAAATAAATAACAAAGCCTGGTGTAATGAATTTTAATCAAAATTGAATGAAAAAGAGGAAAATTTTCGTTGAGATGAAATCAATTCGAACAATAACAGAGAGCATACTTCAATTTAGGTAGAATTTCTTTTTGTTGTTTCTCTTTTTCTTCGTCTTGTGTCACATTTTTCAATAGACTTTCATAATCAAATTTTTCTAACTCTACAATTATTTCAAATCCTCTGTTGGGAGTATCATTGACATACCAGATTTCTTCTACCAAATCATAATAAATAGAGGGAATACGCTCCCGAAAAACAGGACGATACTGAGCCACGGTTGTAATTAAGAAGTCGAATGAAAGATAGTGACAGATCAATGCAGAGGAATCAATTAAATGTGAAATTAGCTACTGATAGTTGATTCTTTTATGTTGAAGTATGAAATTTTGAATTAGAATTAAAAACTACAGTGAAATTCGGTGAAATTAGAGTGTAGGACAGGATAACTAATTAAATAACTCCACCACTACATAAGTTGACCTTGGGAAATGACGTCAACTCCCTACTCTTCAATTTCAGTTATGTATAAGACGATACACGAAAGGAGAACAATGCTGTGTAGGAGAAGACAACCCCCTCCCCGTCGCCCTTATATTATACGTTATAAAGAAAAGAATAAATAAATAGAATTTTTTATTTGAAGAAAACATCAAATTACAACGAATAGATAATATTACTATGAAGTAACGAACGACAGGGAGCATCTGATCGAAAAATACTATAAAAAATTTTCACACCAATTTCAGCCCTCTTCTTATCCATCTGAGAAAAATCATCAATTTTGGAAGTGATGAGAAAATATGTGAAGATTTAATTGGTGCACACAGCCAGATTTCACCATAAAATGAAATAAAATCAGCTTAACGGCGCTATAATAAAATAAAAAAAGAAAATTCTAATGAAATTTAAAAAAAAAGAGTGAACCGAAAAATCAAAGAAGAATGATTAAACACCTTCATAGCAACTTCAGTACGTCGGGGTCTTTTAGCAGCAGGAACAGAGGGATCAGGCACTGATAATAGTTGAACAGGTTTGCATGTTATGAAAGACAGATTCGAGACGATCTTATCATCTATCTTAGTGATAGATTTCAGGGATTGAACACTCAAAAATGGACAATCAGCTAAAAAATAGAAAAATCGTAACGATGATTATTTTAAAAAAAATGACTTGAAAAAAAAAGGAACAAATAAGAGTTACCTGCACGTTGAATGGAGCCAATACATTCTAACTGATCACCCTTTGCATATGGAGACTTGAAATCTGAACCAAAATCATTTATCTTTACATCAATATAAACTTTATCAGCAGAAATAGAGCCATAACACGTATTTTGACCTCCAGCTTCAGTGTGCTTTTCGATGACATTGAACTCCGTCTTCGAAAAACCTTGCACCTCTGATTGAAAATAATAATAGTGTCCATATAAATAAAAAAAATTTGAAAATAGTTAAAAAGAAATGAATACAAGTAGTATCATCCATACTAATTATTCTTTTATGATTTAGAACTTTCTTTAAAGGGACAAGAAGGGGAGCTTCGTTATTGAAGACATCTGACGAAAGTGAACAAAGGCATGTCACGACAGTATTTGATTGAATAACAAGCTCAATATTTTCTAATGTACCTCCATTGTAGTTGTCTTAGACATATTTCGGATACGCACCGTCTATATGAACAATCTATATGAACCAATAAAAATAATGCATTTATTACTGTTTACTTATTATAAGATTTATGAATGAATAAATACCGTTTGAACTGTAATTTTCTCTACAATTTTGTCAATAATGTTATTCCATGCGATACATTGAACATATTCACCATCGTTGTTGTGAACAATAAATTTCAAAACTCGCCTGACTATACCATCTTTGCCAGTAACTTGAACGGGGGCATGGATTTCACTCACAATCGCTACGATTTCTCTATAATGGAATAAATAAAAAAAAAAGAAAACGTAACTCTAGCAACGAACAAAACAATTAGAATAATAATGAGTGGGTTTCATAGAGCATTAAATTGATATATTAGTTTCATAATACTATATAATTTCATAAATTAAAATGAAAAACTCAAGGGACTATTCATTGGTAAAATCATTGTATCACGCAAACATCCAAATCAGTAAAATCCTATGGAATTTATTTTCATGAGTGAATAGCCTTTCGGAAAAACATGAAAATTTGAATTAAAAAAATATTTCATGAGCCTATTACTAATAAAATTTATGAAAAATAGAAGCAGATATTTGAATAGTATCAACCATGAATTAATCCTTTAATATAAAGTTACTTTTAACCGAAACATGAATTTGAATCTTTCGAATCAATCTAATCTTTCAAAACTTTGATTTGAAAAGAGAAGAAGATACAAACGATCTATGAAAAAGTAAAAAGAAGGTTATTTACACCAATTTGGATGATGATGCAGTTATAGACCGTAAAACATCTGTTGGACTACAAATCATTTCTTCCTCTTCCTCCTTCTCCTGCCCCTGCCTTGATGTACATGGTAATGGAGAGTCAGTCATTTTAAATGGATAAATTAGTAAATTAAAAGTAACTCCAATTCAAACGTCAATTCGATACGAAACGATTCTATGCGATTGTTTTACACTCTCTCTCTCTCTCTCTTCATTCAATGAATAACTTCAAATCGAAGTAAATAAATTCAAGTGACTGTCATAAAAAAAAATGCAACCTTACAAATTGCGCGCATTGTTGCCCCTAGTAAACAAAAAAAAAAAGAATACCATGTAATTTATTGTCAACTTTGGTTTAAGTTTCTAATGAGAAAACGAAATAATATGAACAGTCATTCATAACTTACCTCCAATTGTGCATTGGCAAAAGAGAGGATATTTTTCAAATCGCTCTGCAATTTTTCTTTGACTCTGCTCTCATGGATTCCAGATACGGATTTAGTCTTATCGATGCTCTCCCATTGTCCTATGAATCTCTTGAAAATGAGCACGTCAGGGCCAGAGGTACTTCCCATTGAAGCTTCGAAAGCTGCTCTCAGGAGAAGTTCGAAGATGTGGTGACGGCATGCCAAATGTAAAAGGTCTCTTCCAAGGAATTTTTCAATCAAAATGCATGCGCCATTCGCAGGACCCGTATTGCTTGCTGCAGTATCAAAAACCATGGCGCATACATCATCCATTCCTTCAATAAATGGGAAACGGCTTGCGCTTGCAATTCTCCAGTTCCTGGTTCTAATCTAGGGACACCGAGCAGTTGATGCCATTCATGACTTGACACTAGGACTAAAAGACGATCAATTTTCATATGCTTATTTT